AAAGGTCAAAAAAGCTAAAAAAAAGGTAGAAGATGGTTTTTATAGAATGGAGGAAGCAAACAATGTATTGACATCATTTTATAAGGCACTTTAGCAGTACTACTCCTCTAATTTACTTATATGTTTGTGTTTTGAATTGCAGGCAGGCTTCATTTTGAATTGCAGGCAGGCAGCATTTTTGTCAAACAATGGTTTAAAATCAAATGCATTGCACAGTTTACATTTTAATATTCTATTATATTTTTGGAAAAAAATGTCCAACAAAATGACCCAGGGAATTGTGAAATCAGTTTTTCTCCTTAGGAGCTGTAAAATTCATTTACAGTGGTGACATAAAATTTCAGTTTCTAAAGTATGAAAACATTCATGTAAGCTCTTGATATCAAAACATTTGAGAACCCCGATAATTCCAAAGTGTTAAACATTGAAGCTTCCTTAGCTATTAGAATAGCTAAGAAATTCTTAGCTTGTGCCTGTCTTAGTTATTATGTTATAGAAAATTCCTTTAGTTCTGGCACTCATGACTTCTCTCAACTGCACAGTTCCATTGCATTAGAATGAAGACATGAAGAATATTGACTTCAAGAAGGTGTTTTGTAAAAAGAGGTTGCTATAATGTATGTGTTAAAGATTGGTTCCCTCTTAAATACAATAGTAACACTATTGAACTTTATTTAATACTGTACAGAGATTTAAGTAGACTTTTGAGTGCACCACAACAATTCGAATGAGTTGCTATTTGGAAATGCAATAGGATGATTAAGTTAGGATATATACACTAACACAAAAAGAGAGACCATCAGGACTCTTCATTGCTGTGTGTGTTTCTATGATTCTTACCTTTGTATCTACTGACAAAGATACTGCACTACTATACTAACAAAGACAACTAAAAATCATATAGTAATAAGGATACAGAATGTGTTCCATGATGTTTTAAGCAAAATTACAGACAAGGGAATAAAATGAGGGTCAAGAATGTCAACATTATCCAATTTATAGATATATATATATATTTTTTTTTCTCTCGTGGATAGAGAAATAAATCAATATGGAGCTTTCCCCAATATTTCCTTTCAAGTCCATTCCATGACTCTAAAATTGCAATATAAATCATTAAAAAAATCAGAGAATTTTGGTAATTATTACCTGTGATAGTCAGGAGAGTTGCTGTCAGAGGAATAATATTCCAACCAACACTTTTAATTTTACTATAGACCCTTCTTTTAAAAAATATGATTCTTCTGGGCCTCCCCTGGTGGCGCAGCGGTTGAGCGCTGGGCTGCAAATCTGCCTGCAGCCTCTGTATTGCCGGTTCGATCCCCTTCGAGGGTCCCACATGATGTGCAGACCTCTCCTACCACCTGCTGCTCCCTTAGACAGTGTATTTCGTCAGTCTGCCTGTTCTGTTCCCTGCTGTGGCTCTGGTGAATTCTCTCACCCTCCCACGCTTCTGACTGTACCCAGTGCTTGTACAAATAAATAAATAAATAAATAAATAAATAAATAAATCTTAAAAAAAGAAATTAATAATCTTTAAAAAAAATATGATTCTTCTAAATGTGTAGAAATTTACCTAAAGTGGTAATCAGCTTTCAGATATTATTCCTAATAAAATTAATGATGAGCTCATTAGTTTGTGAACCAAAGTAAAATCAGGCAAATTTTAGCATATTAATTTCATGCAATAACTTAATAAAACTTATCATAATAAGTTTAGAGTATATTTATCATCAGAGAAAGCAAGTATAAGTAAACTTTGAAATAATTTTATGCTGTAGTACTAGGACTAATATGTATGTTTTTACATAACTAACATTATACTATTATTAACATAATAAATATAATGTATATATAAATATATATGTATGAATATATATAAAGACTTATAGAAGGAATTCTCTTTTAGTATTAACTTTGTTTTTTTTCCTCATCACAGTACTAATTTAATGAATAAATAAATAAGTTTGACTGTTTCCTAGGTAATGCTAATCAGATTATCCTGCCTTTCATTGTGTTCCACAGTCTACTGGATTCTCTGTTGAATTATGATAGTTTAAGCTTTGTACAAATTGATTAATTGAACAATATAGAATGTACTTGAAAGGAATAGCTTAAAGTGTATTTAAAAAAATTAAAAACTGAAAATCACTATCTCTCATGAACATAAACAGGAAATCCTCAGCAAAATATTAGTGCCCAAGCCCAACAGTCTACAAAAAATTTACTGTGTGTCATGACCAAGTGAGCTTTGTTCCAGATGTGTCTAGCTGGTTCAACATTTGAAAATTAATCAATGTAAACCATCATATAAATTAACACACAAAATCAATATCATGGTAGACATTCTCAGATACAAAATATCTACTTAAAATACCTTCTCTCACCACTCAATTCAACATCTTTCTGGAAGTTCTACCTGTACCATACTATAAGAAAAAGAAATAACATGTATAGAGATTGGAAAAGAAGAAAAGCAGTCATCTTTATTCACAGATGATATGGTTGTCTATGTAAAAATGTAGAAACAATCTGTCCGATGTCATTTTGATGAGCTGTTCGATTCAGTGAGTGGGGTCTTTGGGTTACCTGATGAAAGTTTCACAAAGTTCCCCTTTCTATGGCACATGGTGAGTTTGCCCAGGAGTCAAAGATGTTTGTACACACACATAGAGGCAAAGATTACCTTTTGAAAGGACAGGTTTATTAGCAAAAGGAGAAAGAAAATGACATCTGCTTAGTCACAGGTGGGCAGCAGTGCTGCTGCTGCTGCTTTGCAAAGGGAAAAGTTTTGTGAAAAGAAACACCTGCATAGTCACAAGTGCACAAGAGAGCTGCCTCTTGCCAGTGCAGATATTGTACTGATACAGCATTCTTCTTTTTAGGAAGGTTCATTCTTTTGTGGATTGTGAATCACTTATAGGATGTGACTAGGTTGATTTATAAGGACCTGTGATGGTCCTTAATCTCCATATCCCCAGATACTTTTCTATTCCTATGCCTCCAGATACTTTTCTATAGCAGTCTGATACTTGCTATAGCAGTAGGCACCTAAGGATTTTTCATTTCTTTTTTAAAGATTTATTTATTTATTCAAGAACTGGGGTACAGGCCAGATGTGCAGGAGGGTGAGAGGATTTACCAGAGACAGAGCGGGGAACAGAACAGGCAGACTGACGAAATACACTGCTGAGGGAAGCAGTGGGCGAGACAGGAGAGGTCTGCCGCACCATGTGGGATTCTCGCTGGCCTGCCAGGATCGAACCCGTGCTGCAGAGGCTGCAGACAGCCTCACAGCGGCGCTCAACAGCCTGCACCACCAGGAAGGTCCAGAATTTTTCATTTCTATAGCTGGTTCAACTACTATGCTAATCATCTCTACCCTCACCTCCAGTTTCTGGTCTAGTGACACCTCCACCCTAAATTTTCTACTCATTACCTCCATCATGTCTCAAACCCCCTGAAAGTAATAAGCAAATATAGGAGGATAACAGTATACAAAGTTACTATCATTACTTTGAAAAAAATACTTAACTGTTAGAACAATTAAGAGTAAGAAAAAAAATGTTTAATTTCACCTTCATTGTTTCTCTGATACTTTTCCTTAAAAAAATTTAGATCTGAGTTTCTGACATGTATTTTCTTTCTCTCTAAAGAACTTATTATTTTGTTTTGTGTAGATCTGTTGGTTATGAAGTCCCTCTCCCTTGGAGAGTACTTCACTTTCGTGTTGGGTTCAAATTGTTCTTTTTCCTACCTTTTAGCACACTTGTAATTTTTGTTGAAATCTGGACATGATATATGGGTAATAGGAATTGAGGTGAATAGTCCCTTAACGTGTGTGATTTCATCTTACTGTGACTAGTGGTTAGATTGTGTCCAATGCTTGCCAAGATGTAGGTACCAGAGGCTTCTAATTCCTCTGGTTCTTGTTTTTGTCTCTTTTGCCATCTTTGGGTTTCCCTAAGATATTTTTCTTAAGCAGAATCTGAGCCTTGCAGTTCTTTTGACTTTAATCCACTTGTACTGTTGATATCTTGGCAAGAAGTTGTAGAGGGGACATATTCTACAATCGTATGATCAAACTGTAGACTTTTAGTGGTACTGTATTCCTTTACAATTTTTTTTTGCATTTATTTTCTCCTCTACTTTAGTGAGACAGGAAAGCTAGAAGGGGCTGTCTATGGGAGATAAGACTCCATTAATGATTTTTTTTTTTACTGGACAAGTAGTTCTTTGTTACCATGTATTCCAGCATGGTCATATCCCCATCTCCCTGCCAAAGACACTGAATGTTTTCTCTTGGTTCCTGGAGATAAAGTACATAAAAGTGTAGGGGCAGCATATAAAGTTAATACACAGGAATCAATTTCTTATATACCAGCAATATACAAGTTGAAATATAGAAAGAAAAAGTCATAGTAGCACCAAAATGTATGTATAATATAATTAAATATATATCTAGCAAAATATGTACAGTATGTTTTTATAGAAAGTTATAAGGCAGACTAGGGAAATACAATAATTGGAAGATATTTCCAAGTTCATGGACTGCAAGATTTAAGAATTATGTTTAAAAGTAAGTTTTGTTTCTTCCAAAATGCTCAAAAGAATTCTGTCTGCTTCACATACCATTGTAAGAAACTACTGATTTCTGTTTGGCACTGTCTTAGCAGTCTAACTTTAGCTTTCAGTGTTTCTTCACATTCTGCCCTTTGAGTCCCAGCTGCTGTGGTGGGAAGGAATTCTAACCTGTTTCCTGTAATTGGAGGGACATTTTCTTGATTGAGATCCAAGAGGAAAACTGATTCTCAAGCCACCCCCAACTCAGGTCACTGAATTAGTGCTTTATAGTTGTGTCCTTGATAACATGTTTGAACTTAAAACTTTTGACTTACCTAATGAAAAGTATTTGAACACAGATTTCTGAGATGTCAAATGCTAATAAGAACCATCAAATACCTAATAATGGTTTTCTTTGCTTGATCAAAGATCTCCACAGGAAGAAGATTGGCAATTGGAGAGGTGGCACTCTTCCCACTGAGCCAGAACTAAAGCAAACCTCCAGGAATTCAACCTGCACCAGGAACAGGTATCTTTCCACTGAGAAATGGGACAAAAGAGGTATTTATTTATGGTATTAAAATTATATTTTTTGAAGTGCTCAGGTGTGCTGGTTAAAATCCAGTTTGGATAATTACATTCTTTTCACAGACATTCCACCTACAATTATAACTGCCAAGTCCAATTTTACCAACAGCTTGAATTCTAAATCATCTCATCTTGAGACACATTGTTCCTTAGTTCCATTTTACAATGGTTGGTCAACTGCCCCTCTTCTTTCTATAGCTGACTGGAGTAAAATAGCCCAGGAAAGTATTTTTAGGTATAAGTAAGTGATTTGAAATGAATGGTACTATATTAAAGTGATATAGTTGTTATTAAAATGAGATTATGGAAACTCTGGCAGTTTTGAAATTTCTCTGATGATAAATACCTTTGGCTTTGAAGGATAGGCCTTTCCAAGATGTTCAGAACAGGTTTTCCCATGATGTGTCACTCTGGCTTGTAGAATATTTCAAAACTTATTAAATAAGTTCAGTCAAGGCACTGTGAGCTCATAAGAAACTTTTGTTTTCTTTTAACTACCCAGAAGAATGAAAATTGGGAGCATCACCTAGAATTAGGATTTTTAGCGCAAGTAAACTTGCTGACAGGGAAATCTATCTATATGGCATGGCAAATGTCTAATTATACAGAATCTGGGCTTCATCATTTGAATCATCTTCTCCTTGTTATGTGAATCCTCCTCTTCTCTCCTTGGAGTCCCAGGTGCTTATCCCATTCCTTACCTCAGGATATATAACCCCATTTTGCCTCATTGTTTTTGAATCCACATCTATGGCAATTCCCCATGCATACAAAATTAAATTTATTTTTTCCTCCTACTAATCTGTCTGATGTTAATTTGATGCTTGACCAGCTCTAAAAGAACCGATAAAGGTAGGGGGAAATTCCTGACCTTTCTGACAACATTTTTCACTTGTGATATCCTGCAAACTTAGAACATGATGGTACTGTATTTAAAAAAATTTTTTTAAGGGCCTCCCCTGGTGGCGCAGCGGTTGAGCGCTGGGCTGCGAGACTGCCCTAAGCCTCTGCAGCACCGGTTCGTTCATCGGCCGCCGGCGAGGGTCCCACAAAAAAAAAGGAAAAAAAAATAAGATTTATTTATTTATGCATACAAGAACTGGGGTATAGGCCAGATTTGTGTGTTTTTGGGGGCGGGGTGAAAGGATTCACCAGAGACAGGGTGGGGAACAGAACAGGCAAATGGACTGAAATACACTGCGGAGGGGAACAGTGGGCGAGTCAGGAGAGGTCTTCTGCGCCGTGTGGGTAGCTTCCTGGCTGGGGACCGAACTTGTGCGTCAGCGGCTGCAGACAGCTTCATTGGTTGCGTCTTAACCCCTTTAACCACCAGGGAGGCCCTCTTTTGCTTTTTAAACAATAGCCATGATTTAAGATTTTTTTCTTAAACATGTCTCACTTGCCTGATGAAAACACATTATGCTTTGATATTCATTTTGTATAGACTGACTAACAAAGTTGAAAGGTAAAACACTTTACAGGGAAAACACAGTATACCTCACTAACACATATATCAAATCCTTTCCTTGAATAGTAAATAGAAAGTTTGCTTTTGTTCTCAAAGAATTTATGATTTTAAAATTTGAAGAAACTAAAATTAATAAGAATTTTCTTTAAATATTCACAAGAGATATATCTTACATATGTATGAATGTAGTTTTGAGAATCTCATTAGAAACTCATTTTTTTATAATTTTTTATCTTTTCACATTACCATTCTTATCCCTAAATCTCAGAGAAACATATTCTTTGTTTCTTATTCTTTCTTCCTACCAGCCCCTTTTGCATTAAGTGTTTTATTTATTTATTTAAAAGATTTATTTATTTATGCATATAAGAACTGGGGTATAGGCCAGAGGTGTGTGCGTGGGGCGGTGGGGGTGGTGAGAGGGTTCACCAGAGACAGAATGGGGAACAGAACAGGCAGATCAGCTGAAGTACACTGCTTAGGGGAGCAGTGGGCGACTCAGGAGAGGTCTGCTGCGCCACGTGGGTTGCTCCCTGGTTGGCCAGGGGTCGAAATCGTGCTGCAGAGGCTGCGGACAGCTTCATAGGTTGTGTCTTAAACCCCTGCGCCACCAGGGAGGGCCTGCATTTGGTGTTTTATGTTTTACCTTTCCTTTCCTTGCAGTTATCAGGGTGCAAAGGCAATTTTCATATACCCCTCTGGATTCTTCTAGGCTGGCAAATAATCAAACAAGTATCAGACAGATAAAAGAAAAAAACCAAAAAGAAGTCTAATAAAAACATGTATACTTACTATATACTTGGGAGAAGTAAAATATAGTAACTCACTCCTTGCTTCAGACACCATTTTAAAATAGCTTAGTTAAAAACAGTAGTAGAGACTAAAGAAGACAGGGTGTTTACCAAGGAAGACACAATAAAGAAGGATATGCAGTTTTAAGCTGTCTTCTCCAATTTAAAGAGATAAGGAATTAGGTCTGGCCAGCAGGAGGGAGAAACACTTATAGGAGAGATGTTCTCCTTTATGCAGGTAAATATCTCTTTCAAATAAGGGCAACCTCCACCCAGCTTTCAGAGCTTATCCCATGACTGAACCTCTTGCCAAAAAGACTTATTTGGGGGTGGCAGATTTTTTTCTTCTCTATACAGCCTCTTTTAAAAATTGAGTGTGTACAATGAATTTCAGCTTTTCATTAATGCCTATGTAATGCACAGTAATCACTATTAGAACTAAATCACTTTGAAACACTGAGAACTTTGAAAAGTACAAAGCTTTATTCATTCAATAAATATTTTGCATTTACTGTAAGACAATTTAAAATGTAAGTTAAATGTTGGCTGGATTAAAAATAGATAAAATAGGCCCTAAATGGAATCATTTATGTTGGGCCCCAAACTGATCCAGACTTAATCTCACTGAAGTTTTAAGATCTCCCAAAAGTGTTAATCCTAAACCATTTAATCTGGAATTTCCATATAGACATCCATGAGGTAATTTGTATGATAACCCTTACCCTACCCCCCCCCCCCAACCGGACTCCTAAGGGAAGATGATTTTATCTAAAATAATATTTTCTTTTGCTAGTAATTTGTCCCACCCTTTTCTGTCTTAGGTACGCTCCATTTTGTGCTAGACCATGCAGGACCAATAGATGGGATGCTTCATAGTTCATGACTTGTTTAATAAAGCCAATTAGATCTTTAAATTTGTGAATTTTGCTTTTTAACAGATGCAATGATTCTTACTTTTATTTTACCAAACCAAAGTCTACATCAAAGCTCAAGGCCTCACAGCATGCCCAGAGTAAAGCATGGTGTATATATCTGTTCTTCTTATTCCCTCTCCTGAGCTTTAGTTATTTAAAATCAATCATTTCAGATACATTCAAATATATCATTGCAATGATTAGTGGCAACAGTACAGGAACCTTCTCAGTATTCTAGTATCTCTCTCTCAAAGCAGAAGTCAACCCCATTGCCAGTCACCAATTCTAACTTGTATAATTTAATTGTCACAAGAAAGTAAAATTAAATCCCTGCCAGCATCTCTTTTCATATAGTTAGGGAAGAGAGATACATTACTATAAAATAGGTTACTCATCTAGATGATGTAATTCAGATGGAGTCATTAGATTTTACTACCTCAAGTTAAAATGAACATGCAAGAACACAGAAACAGAAACCATAATAAGCAAAATTCTTATTTGAAAATTGTCAGGAGACTCTAACTAAACTTTTCTTAAATCAGCAAATAGGATAACCGATACCTGTTTGATAAAATGTGCCTTTGAACACCTGAGAGCTGTTTAAAACTTATGCATTGACAATGACGCTTTCCTTAACCAGACTTTAGCTGGATTATTTTGATTTATCATCTTGTTTAGGCCCTGTTCTTGACTGGCTGGGCCTGGTTTTAGCAAAGAATTCTGTTGAGTCCAGTTTTTGCAAGTATCCTACTAAATCAATTTAGGAAGAACTGTTCCCAATCCCTTGGTGTGTAGTAATGAGCCTTTTTCCCACCCTTGATATTTAATCAAATTCTTCCCCCCCCCACTATTTACATATAATCAAGAGAGGACTCAGTAGTTTTCTATCAATGTAATCTGCCCATGGGCTGTAAATCCCCAACTGTCCCTGTTTTATTGAGTTCAGTGTCTCCTATTGCCAGTTTCTCTTCCCTACTATAATAGGCTTGAATAACATCTTCCTTACCTATTTAAGTGCCTTTGAATCAGAGTAAGGATGATCCAAATATTTTCCATTCCCAGCCTACCACAATATGAAGCACCCACTGATGTGATTGTGATGAGAAGTTGGGGTTCAGTGAGTAGGATCTTTGGGTTACCTCTCAGAAGAGTTTTGGCAGAGTTCCCCTCTTTAGTGGCACATGGTGAGTGTGTCAAAAGAGACAAAGATGTTTTCACAAAAGCAGGCAGGTGAAAGTTATAGCCAAAAGGGCAGGTATATTAGAGAAAAAATGAAGGAGAAGACATTTGCAAAGTAACAAGTGGGCAGAAAGAGCTGTCCTTTGCCATTATAGGAAGAGTTGTTCTGATAAAGTGTTCTTTATTTGGGGAGGGGTTGATTACTTTGTGAAATTTTTATCTATTGTTAAATCAGTCATTAATAGGGTGTGATTAGGTTAATTTGTAAGAACCTCAACCCCTATATCCCCATGTCTGGTGCATGCTCCTATGGATATTTTTTTTTTCTTTTTTTTTCCAGTTATATTTTTCTTAATTAATTTTTAAAAATTTTTTACATCTGTAGGGTAAGGAAAAATGTCAGGCTTTTCTGCCCTCCTGCCATCAGGATAGATGATGGATCCTTGCGGTGCTGAATGCGTGCCTGATGGCGGGCACCTGGAGTAGGGTGTGGGCATAGGTAGATGGGATTCACCTGGGCTAAGACTGGGCTTTTAAGGGCGGCGTCACGGGGACGCCAGCAGCAGCAGCAGCCGAAAGAGAAGCCGAG